GCAAGGTCACAAGTTGTGGCATGGGAAGTTCAGATTAGCCTCCAGGAAAACCTTCAGAAGGGTGCAGCAACATTGAAGCAGGTTACCTGGAGAAGTGCTAGTCTCCATCTGTGGAGGTTTCCGGGACTCTGCTAGGCAAAGCCACGCTAACCCATCCGGCATAGGCAATAGTCCTGCACTGAGCGGGAGACTGGACTAGAGAGAATCCCTTCCAATCGGCATTTTTAAGAGCTAGGAAGCTTCATAAAGTACAAGTTAGAGAGAATCCCTTCCAATCGGCATTTTTAAGAAGCTTCATAAAGTACAAGTTAGGGGTGAGGAACACTATCAACCAGAATCATCTTCATTTCTGAAACAGAATATACCAGTTTTTCCAGGAGGAAAAAAAAAAAAGGTCTCAATAAACCAGATTTAGGTGCTTTTCTGTGGACTTGATGATCCTTATGGGTCCCTTCCAACTTGAAATATTCTGAGATTCTCATGAAGAACCTACAGTCTCTAACTTTACCATTTTTCAACTTCAGAATAATCCCTAAACTAGAATGCTCTTCAAAAAAAAACCCCCACAAACAACAACAACAAAAAAAAAACCAAAACCCCGAACCCCACTATCCTATACCTACTTGCAGCACCTAAAACCGATGTCGTTATCAAAACAGACATTGCCAGAAAACTCAGCCTTATCCAGTCAGCTGAGGAATGGAGGTTTAGCTGCTGGTTCAGTCATTTATATGTCCAGCTACAAAGAAAGGAGGCCTGACACAGCAACAGGAAGGTGCACGTGTTGGATTTACCTGATCAAACTGCGCTGCCTGTGGCTTGGCTTATACAGATCAGAATGAAAACATTAAATATACAAAGCAAAACAAAATTATTAACTTATAAGGATCACTTGCATAGTCTGTTGAAGCTTTCTTTGTGAAAAAGACTGTGTTTGCAAAAAGCACTGACAGCCCTTTCAATAGAAAATTCCATTTTTTCTGCAGTCCCTGCTGTATTGCATGTTAGACACTCAAATACTTACACATTATTTTTATTTTCAATACCAGTACCATGTTCTTCCCAAATACATTTAAATAAAGGTCCTTTCTGTAATTTCTCTTTTCAGGTACAATACTTGTGGCTTTTATATGGGATGAAATCCTTCCTCGGATATCCTGAGACATCAATTCTGAAATCTAGCAGTACTATATTAAAAAAATACTTTCAACATCTGCAGACATGAAGCTTTCAGAAAACTGCTGACAGACTCCCATACCACCTTTCAGTTGTATTTTCAGATTTCATGTTTGAAATATTTGACTTACAACTTTGTATTCAAATACTTATTTTGTAATAGCGTATTGGGATTTTGAAACTATCTGCCAACATTTTCAGTTAAGCCATATGAATGTGAAGGACTGAAAACACTGGAACTTTGTCACTTTAGCCCTAAGTGCCATTTGCTGACCTGTATTACAACAGCATGTAAAACTAATTTTAGAGAAATACCCAGTCCTTTCAAGGTTTGATTTTATTGGATTTCTTCCTGTAGAAGGCACCTGCAAAAAAAGAGCTGAAGATTTCATTCTTATATTGACCTCATCATATTCCTACTTGCAATATACATACCTCAGAGGAAGAAAGGCTACACTACTCCCTAGAAGTCTCCACAGCTCTATTCTAGAGGTACCCTACACCAAAATTAAAAGTCTGTAGGATCAGCAATGTTTTAATAATACCCGAGTGCTGGTAAGTAACCCCTCGCTTCCTTTCAAGGAAGGTTCTGCCCCATCCTGTCCCATTATAGTCTGTTGAATGTTTATCTTTGTTGGAAAGAACGGTAATAAAGTACCATAAAATTCTGTAGACACACACATAAAAGGGCATTTGAGGCAAAACCCACAAACCCTACTTTATCTGAGATTACTGCTGCCTCTTCATATAGTGAAATAGACACAGTGAATAGGGATGAATCATGTGGAACTTGATTTGTCCTTGATTTTATGTAACTCTTATCAGATATTTTTCTTGAAATAAATGAATTTGCAATGTAGGAGAATAAATAAAAGAGCTAAAACCACAGGAAAGCTACATACGCAAACTGGCACAAACATGCCTCTTATAGCCTCAGCTGAGACCACACCGACAGGTACCATCCTCTGAGGTTCTGTTTCTAGCATGAGGCTTCTTCTTCTGGATGCATCTTAATTTATATATATGCCAAAAGATATTTTTCAAATTTAAGACTAAATTCAGTTTTTCACTTTATAGTTACTAGGTCTGAAAGGAGAGATGAAAGAAAGGTCCCAGTAGTTGGCCTCTCTGCTCATTACCTAAGTCACCTTGCAGACCATATTCTAAGAGGAAGGGAGGGAATTAGGGTTTTTTTGCACAGTAGAATTATGAACCAAGTCTGACACAGCCACGGTTGCCAGCTATCTTTTTTGCAAGAGTTCGGGAAGTAAATACTTTCATGTAATTTCTTACTTGTTGCAATAAAATATTTTCTCGTTTTAATTTTCCAAGGTATATTTAAAATAATATTGCAAAATGAAATCAACTGTTTGGACATGCTTTTCATACAAAAGAGTCTTAATCCATGATGACCCTGTATTCAGTCATCCAAATAAAATCTAAAAAACGTAGCCTGCTAATACACTGAGGAGAACTACAACTGCCGGGTTACCATTCCGCAGCCCTTTACTGGTGCGAGCAGGCCTGCTAAAGGAAACTTACCTTTGGTAAAACTCTTCACGGCAAGGACAGCACGCCACCGCACCGAGCCGGGTAAGATGCGATCCTTTAGCTGGTTTTACATTCATCTGCTTATTTATAACTCAGCCACGGAGGACTGCTAGAACAGAAACCCGATGCACAAGACCTCTGAAAAACACGTCCTTTTATATCATGTACTGCTTTGGGAGGCTTCTACCTGTCACTTCCTTGCTTTACTGCTTTTTATCACTTTTACCTATTTTAAAGTGATCCATACCTTGCAGATTTGATTTCCACACA